TTTGTTGATATAGAGCGACAAGAGCACCTGTCATTTCAGCCGTTTTCGCGTAAAAACCGAACATACAAACACATTTTCACATTTATAATATTAAGTAGAGATATAACTTTTCTTTTTTTAAAATATTTGCAAAATCGTAAATAAGATACATAAAAAATAAATCTAAGTAGGATGAACATCAGTTACATCTTAATTCCACTCATATGTGCGACTCAACAGATAGATACAGTAGTGTGCGTGTGCGAAACCGTGGCGGGTCGCTAGACGAAATTTCGATATCTCAACATCGTCAATAGGTTATATGGGCCTATTTGCCGACTTGATCCATTCAATGTCTTCCCCAATGATTTCACTGATATTTAGTACGTAGTGAAAGTTAATAAGGTTGCATATTTTTCAATGCAAAAATAATTTTTAGCTTTAACAGTGGCGTGCGTACGGGTATTTACTTCGATATTTTTTAAGAGAAAAAATAATGGTACGCCAATGGTTATTTCCAATTAAAATTACTTTTGAATTCCTCGTTTAATTTAAAACAAATGATCTCTCTTAAATTGTTTTCCTTCGATGCGCCATTTTTGAGTAAAAAAATAAAAACCGTTCTAGTCCGAGAAAATTAATGTAATAATAATTGAAGAATGCAATTTAGCAATAAATATCTAGTTGCTCTAGAATGTTACTGGCTTTTGACATCTGACAAGATTCTGTTATTCAAATCTGTTCGCTGTGACATCTTTTTCATCATTTAATGGTAATGGTGAGCAAGTCAGACGGATTTATCACCAGAGATATCCCGATCGTGCTTTGCCAGATAGTCGAACCTTTTCTAATATTCATCGTCGTCTTGTTGAAACTGGTTCTGTCCGAAAAGGTACATCTGAAGGTAGACCTCTAGACACTTAAATATTTACCATCAATTTGTTTGGAGAATTTTTGTGGATTTTTTGTTATATCCTTACCATATTTTAAGAGTACATGCATTGCTTCCCATTGATTTTCCAAGGCGTGTGACCTTTTGTGAGTGGTATCTTCAAAAAATTACACAAAATCCGCAATTTGAATCAATAATTCTGTTCACGGACGAAGCTAATTTTTTTAATCATTTGTGGGCAGATGAAAATCCCTGTGCCGTAACCGAAACCCATTTCCAACACCAATTTTCGGTTAACGTATGGGCAGGAATTATTGGCAACGACTTTATTGGCATTTTTCTTGCCGGGACGACTTGAGGGACAAACTTACCTCAATTTTTTTCAACAACAGTTGCTTTTGCTGCTTGATGATATTCCGTTAGTAATAAGAAACAGTATGTGGTAGATGCATGATGGTGCACCAGCGCATTTCAGTGTAGCGGTTCGTAATAATTATTTACAAACTTTTTATCCAAATCGTTGGATTAGCCGCGGTGGGCCCTAAGAATGGCCACCAAGGTCCCCAGACCTCAACCGTTTAGATTTCTTTTTGTGGGGCTATCTTAAGACATTAGTGTACACAAGTCCCATTAACACTGTATAGGAATTAAGAGAAAGAATAGTTGCAGCTTGTGATAGAATAAAAAACACTCCAGGGATATTTCAACGAGTGGACAATTCCATGAGAAGGGGGGCGGAAGCATATGCTTACTAAGTGAAGGGGGCCATTTTCAACAATTTTTGTAATCATTTCGTTGGTTTTAATGTAATATTTATGTTGTCAGTTGTTGTTGTTCATTACCCCTAATGTTTTTTATTTTTCAATTAAATTAATAATAATTTTGCAAGTTAGACAATAGAAGGGTTTTTATTTTTTTTTTCAAAAATGGCGCATCGAAGGAAAACAATTCAAGAAAGATCATTTGTTTTAAATTGAACGGGGAATTCAAAAATAATTTTTATTTGCCAAAAAACCATTTCATATAAAATATTGAAGTCAATACCCGTACGCGTGCCACTGTTAAACTTTATTAACTTTCACTACGTATTAAATATCAGTGAAATATCTGAAGCGGTTCTGAAAATATTGATTAATTTCCATTTTTTTCCTAAAACTTTTCATGTAGATCCACACCCTTAAATATTCGCATATCATTAAGGGAAACCCTGTATATTCTTTCAAGAGGAATTATACATATACCAATGACAACGTGGCGAAAGTATTGAAGAGTCAACCTACTCGACGCCATTTTTCAGCTACTACGACCACACGCGTGTAAAAAGCGAAGTTCACCTACTCGACGCTGTAACCGATCCTTATTAAGAATAAGATATTCGCATTCCGACAGCTCAATTAGCAGATTGATATCCACATCGCGAACGAGCAACAGGTTAGAATCGCGAAGAACAATCTAAATATTCACGTAAATTAATTATATGGCCGAATACATTAATAAAGTCGAGTGGAAGCGTATTAGCAGATCGCGTGACCATACTGATTCGAGTCTTTATAGTAATTGGCGTGCGGCATATATCGGAAAACGACGTTACATTTGTGGGTTTAGAGGTCTAGGTCTGTAATGACACTGAAACCGAAATTAGTGCAAATGGGTTTTAAATCATACAGGAAATTACAATTTGGAAGTTGTAATGCGTGAGTGTAGCACCTTTACTTCCCACGCATTTGCGCCGCCTGTTAACGTGAGTATACTCGGTGACATAAGAAAAAATAATTTGTTCAACTTTTTTGGCAATGAGGTAGTCTTACATCAGGAATGAAACGATAACATTCTCACGAAATTTTATTGACCAGTAATAAGAAAAAAAATTAATAATACATTGGGCGACCCCGCAGCTGAATAATAATAATAATAATAATATCATCAGACAACGGCTATCACAATAGACTGGTCTGGGAAGCTATCGAGATTCACAAACATCCGGATAACTTCAACAGGAAGGAATAGACCCTCAGACTCAACTCGATCTGGCACCCGATCCTCAGAAAGGCCTGAGCAGTGCCGATCGACATCCTGAAGTCAACCGAAGCGGAACAAGCCACGTCACCTACCCTGCGCAAGAGAAATCGTCAGCAACCTGGGAAAGACCCAAGGTTCCCCCAAAACTACAGACCCATAAGCCTGTTGACGGCACTGAGCAAGATTGCGGTAAGGGTAATCGAACGAAGACTGAGGAACGAAACTGAAGAACTCCAGACGAACAGTTCGGATTCCGAAGCGAACATTCAGCAGAGCACCAGGTCCTAAGGCTGGTCGACATGGCAACGAAATCGTTCCAGACTCGGCAGGCCGTGGAACCTGTGTTCATGTATGCCGCTAAGGCGTTCGACACTGTTTGGCATGACGGACTGATCTACAAGACCTCGGCTACTCAACGGGGATGATCCAACTGGTGAAGTCCTGTTTGAAGCACCGTAAATACCGAATTAGGATTGGTAAAACATCTTCGATGACGAGGACTGTGGAGGCAGGAGAACCGCACGGAGCGGTTCTATTACCCCTGCTGTATGCAATCTACAGTTCAGACATCCCGAAGACTCCACAAACGCAACTGTATGTGTATGCGGACGATACAGCATATGCGGCAGAAAGTACGAGACCCCGCATGGTTACGGAATATCTGCAACGAGCGACTACCAACCTAGAGGAATGGTGCATCAAGTGGAAGATCCGGCTCAACCCTGAGAAGACCGAAGCGGTACTGTTCCGAAATCGAAGATTACCTCAAACCAAAATAAAGATGACGACCACCAGAATGGAGAGAGGCTGGAGAAGAGACGAAGAGATTGAGGTCGTACCTTGGAGTCAAGATGGACCAAAAACTCATTTGGAAGAACCATGTCGAGGGCCAGGTGCAGAAAGGGAAGATGGCACGCTCCAAACTAAGACCTTTATTAGGCAGAAGAAACAAAGTGTCCTTAAAGAATAAGACCATCATGATTCAGATGGTGCTGCTCCAAATCATGACTTACGCAGCAGTAGCTTGGGGCTACGTTTCCAAAACGTTGAAGACGAGAATTCAAGCTCAACAAAACATAGCACTCCGTGAGGCGGTAGACGCACCGTGGTATGTACCTAACAGAGTGCTATATGACGAACTACGACAGGTACCGGTCGTAATCCAGATGAGAGAGAGGGTCCAAAAGTTTTTTGAAAAGAGCGAAAGACATCGAAATGTGCTGATTAAAGACGCCTTGGATTACGACCCAACAACAATAAGGCGTCATAAAAGACCGAAAAGCCAGCTGCAACAAGAAGAAATTTGGCCCTAGCAGCTGATGAGGCCAAAGAAAAGGGAAGAAGACCGACAATAGTTGAACACCCAAGAGGGGAAAGAACAGCCCGTGTACAACGGGTGGACAAAACGAAGACTATCGATTGAGGTGGCCAGAGTCAAGCACGGACTCGAGGCTAACCTCAGGAGACGAAGACAAACAGCAAATGACTGACGACTGACTGACTGACTCCAGTCAACGAGGAAAGAGTGAAGGCTCACCAACCTTAATGCGGGGCTTAAGTCAAAGCCCCCCAAGAAAGAGGCCGCCCATAAAAGTCCAGAACCGACAGTTGGATGAAACGTCCACTACGTGCTTCCGCGACGCGTGCGCGATCTAGTCAATTTCGGGAAAAAGGGGCAAAATTGGGGAGGGGGCAGCTCGCTCGGCAGCACACACTCGGGGAATGCGCAGCGGCCTGAACCATGCAGCGCCACGCCAGGCCTTCGGGCGGGAGAGGAGAGAGGAGCAGATTGCTGCAGGTTTCCTGGAACAGGGGTGGTGGAGGACCACATCGTAGTTGAACCTGACGACATCCTTGTGAGCTTCGATGTCGTCTCCCTTTTCACCAAGGTACCACTGAGGGAATGCAAGATCTTCCCTTCTGACATCTGCAAGCTCTTTGAAATCTGTCCCACTGGAAGCTACTTCGTATGGGATTGGGGCTTTTATGAGCAGACAGACGGAGGTTGCCTGGAACATGGGTGGTGGAGGGACCGCACAGGGTAGGAGGGTGTGTGTGTGTGTGTGAAATCGTCAGTCTACATCCAGCATCGGAAATGGAAGGACCTCTGATGAAGCTTGCCACTCGTGACAGCGAAACGTTAGGAAGAAATTCCAACCGACGACGAACTTTAGATCCGAATCAAGACAGCAGTTCATCAACTGGCCGTGAAAGCCTTAACCAATTTGTCAGACGCCTCTATGGGGAAGAGACATGTAAGCAGTATCAACAACTGGATAATTTCAGAAAACAGAAGGCACATTTACTCGCCACCTTGGCTTTTCTGAGCCGCTGCCGGGACACTAACATCGTTCCAGCTTTCCTTAGACAGAAACAAATTCTCCAATCAGCGCAAGCTAAGAGGATCTACGCCAGGACTGAGAAAGCCTTTCTTAGAGAACGGATCCACTATACTCGACATAGCCTAGCGAGGACGGACGAAAAACTACTTGGCCTGCACTTGACTGAGCAACAGGATTGGGACAAAATGGACGCAATATCGCATTCCAACATGAGAAACCAACTGGACCGCTTCAAGGTGCAGCAGATTAGAAAATACGAGAAGTTTCAGAGACGGCAATCACCCCAGACAGCAAGCATTGACCATGAGCGACTCGTGGTGAATCTAACGGATAGGGTACTTGCTGAGGATGAAAAATCAGTATTATCCAAAGGAGGTAATTTTGCAATCACGCCCCGCCACATTCCGGTTGAAGACATTATCTCCAGTACGGAGGCAGCCATTAGACATCTACCGGACGAGGCCGCCGAGGAAATACGAATGGCGACAGCCAACATTCTTAGAAGGGCGAATCCACCAAAAAGCAAGCTGGTCTGGTACTACGGAACTTGAATTACAACGAGGATATTATCATACTCCCATCCGACAAAGGCAATGCAACTGTTCTTCTGAAGACCGTGGACTACAAAAGGAAGATTATTGAACTAGACCCAGAAAGTTACAAACCCCTGAAGAAGGATCAAACGCAAACCCGACTACAACCTTACCAAGCTATGATCACTGCCAGAAGACAAAAAGAAGAGCGTTACGAGGACGGAAGCGGTTCCACCGAGGCTCTACGGCCTGCCCAAGATCCACAAAGCAGATGTTCCGTTGAGACCGGATCGCCGACGTACTTCTTAGCGAAACACTTGACGTCCCTGCTGCAACCATACGTGGGAAAAAGTACCAGCTACATCAAGGATTCCACCGACTTTGTGCGCAAGATTCAGGACATCGTAGTTGAACCCGATGACATCCTTGTGAGCTTCGATGTCGTCTCCCTTTTCACCAAGGTACCGCTGAGGGAATGCCTACATCTGGTGAGCAGGATCTTTCCTTCTGACATCTGCAAGCTCTTTGAAATTTGCCTCACTGGAAGCTACTTGGTATGGGACGGGGGCTTTTGTGAGCAGACAGACGGAGTGGCAATGTTAAGTCCACTTAGCCCACCTTCTTATGGAACACTTTGAGAAGAAGGCGGTTGAGACATCGGAGAACAAACCAGCAATTTGGTTCCGGTACGTGGACGACACCTTCGTGATTTGGAAACATGGCACGGACAGGCTAAACGAGTTTCTGCAGTACCTCAACGATCGGCATCCAAGCATACAATTTACCATGGAGATAGAGAGTGACCAACAACTGGCGTTCTTGGACGTACTAGTCAGGAAGCGAAGTAACAAGCTGGGTCACACAGACAGATACCTGCACGCTTTGTCCAATCATCCAAGTATGGAGGCATCAGAACTCTGACAGAACGAACTCGAAGGATTTGCGAACCGGAGAACCTCCAGACAGAACTTGAACACCTGAAAACTGCGTTCGAAGCAAATGGTTCACATACTTTGGTCTGTAGTATCTGCAGTTTCGAGAATTCCCAACCTTTCGCAGACAACCTGTATATTTGAGGTGGTCCTGAACTAAATTTTGGGTGTTTGATATTAAAAAACTATATTTTTGAACACATATACTAAGTGACATATAAATCCGAACACCCAGTTTAAATGGTTTTATTTTAATAAAAGTTGGTGAATGCATTTATCTTACTGTAAATAACAAGTGAAAAAATTTTCAGCCTTATCAGTTGGACATTCCAGTTTTTATACTGTTTTTTTAATTCACTAACGCTCTAAAAATGAATATTTCAGCCGCAGTAAAGAATCAACGTTGGCGGATTTTGGTTCTTGACATCCTTTACGATCGGTTACGATGCCTAGAGTACGGAGACCTGTACGATTTCGTCAACTCAGTGAGTTTGATAGGGGCCGTATAGTGGGACTTCGGGAAGCTGGACTTTCTTTTCGGGCAATTGCAGTTAGAGTGCAAAGAAGTGTAGAAACTGTGGTTAGGTGTTGTCAGGCATGGCTTCGAGAAGGCCGTACGCAAGGGGCACTGGACGCCGCCGTAGAACAACAGACCGTGAAGATCGCCGCCTAAGATTATTGGCCTTAAGGGACCGTTTCTCCACTACCAGGTCCATTGCAAATGAATGGTTTGCAGAACACGGAAGACCTATTGGCATGCGAAGTGTTTACCGACGAATGAGAAGTTTTGGCTTGTTTTCATACCGGCCACACTGGGTCCTCCCTTTAACTCGAGAACACCGATGTAATCGCCTTGAGTGGTGCAGACAACGGTCACTCTGGGATCAGGAATGGAACAGTATTGTCTTTAGTGACGAGTCTCGATTTTGTTTAGGCATGCACGATGGTCGTGCCAGGGTTAGAAGGCGACGTGGTGAAAGGAGGAATCCACAGTTTTTTGTTGAAAGACATGTTCATCACACTGTTGGAGTTATGGTTTGGGGTGCTAAAGCTTATGGTTCCAGGTCACCTTTAATCTTCATCAGAGGTAACATGAACGCGCAGCGCTATATCCACGAAGTTCTAGAACCCCATCTTTTACCCTATCTTGACACCCTGGCAGATCCAACTTTCCAACAAGATAATGCCCGACCACATGTTGCAAGAGTCACAATAGACTTCTTTCAACATAATCATGTCACATTGTTACCATGGCCACCAAGATCTCCCGACTTATCCCCAATTGAGCACGTGTGGGATATGATGGGTAGGAGATTGCTCAATTTGCAACGTCCTCCTCAGACTCTAGAAGCACTTCGAGAGGAATTGGTGGTTGCCTGGAATGAGATACCACACGAGGACATTGACCACCTGATCAGAAGCATGCCTAGGCGCGTTGGAGAATGCGTAGCACATCAGGGTGCATCCACACATTATTAAAGGTCAAAGGGCTTTAAAGCAGTGCAATAATTTTGAAATTTTTATCATTTACTTATTATGCTTCATTAAGTACTTATACAAAATTTTATTAAAATAAAACCATTTAAACTGGGTGTTCGGATTTATATGTCACTTAGTATAGTTATCCTGAGTTACAGCTTCGCTAAGATACATAATTTTGTCGTCTATAAGCGCGGAAAGAAAAATACGTTTCCTATGCTGATTAGTCTTTTGGATAGAGATATCCCTAAGTAGATTCTACACAAGGCATTATACACAAGTGTAACGATAATGTTATCGTATACTGAGAATGTTACCGGAGGTATAGGGTTACTTAAGAGATCATCATACTTTTCCCAGAGACAGAAATCATATAGCGAAAGTGCATTGACATGAAGTATATTCGGTATCATTTTACACTTACTACATAACACATTATGTACGAGTACAGTACATATTATGCAGAAAGGAATAATAAATCGAATAATTAATTGTCTTGATGAATACAAGAACATTTTATTCGAAAAACGAAATTATTATTAATAATAATGAGAATGATGATAATAATAGGTGCGAAGTTTAGCCATCTTAACCCTTTTACAATACAATATGCCTGGTGGTAACTTTTAGTGTAACAATTACAATAAAAGGCAAGAAATAGCAAGCATACAGTTAAAACCTTTTAAAAGACATTTGTTTTCGGCAAAAACTGAATAAAACAAGAAATGTTCGTAAGACACTAACGATATAAGGTACATACATAAATGAGGCACTAACAGGATAATATAATTATATAGATGCAAACAATTAGAATGTACCAACTTATGGTTTAAATTTAACAACTGATAATGACTTATACAGTACCGAGCAAAAGTGGAGAAACATTTTTTTAAAGATTTTGTTAAATTATTAAAGTAAACTAAACACTTGTTTTATTATAACTTAATGTAACATGTAACTCAAAGCCAACATGAAAATAAAATTTCTGCTTTAGTAAAACTAAGCTAACAATTATTATTATTAAAATACAGCGAGCAAAAATAGAGAAACATAATATACAAAGCAATTGTCGTATACAAAGAAGCTAATACTTGGTTGGAAAACCTTTATTTTTGATAACTGCTAGACATCTTTTTCTCATTGAACCAATTAAGCTATCTATTATTTCTTTTGGAATAGAATTCCAGGCGACTTCGATTGTTTCAAATAGTTCGGCACTATTTTTGAACTTTTCTGGATGTTCAGAACGAATTGTTTTATCAACTAAATCTATGGGGTTAAAGTCTGGACTCTGAGCTGGCCACTTAATGACATTAATATTGTGATCTGCAAAAAATGTTTTGATTATTTTCGCTGTGTGCTTGGGGTCGTTGCCGTGCTGAAACCGCCAGCGTAGAGGCATGTTTTCTTCTGCGTAAGGTAGCATGGTATCAGTTAATATTTCCAAGTATTTGTACCGATCCATAATTACTTCAGTTTTAACGATGGATCCCATTTGAAGACCACAGGAGCAACTCCATACTTGAACCTTCCCGCCTCCGCGTTTGATTGTGCCCAAAGTGAACTTAGGATCAAATCGCTTGTTTTTAATACGTCTTACCCATAAAATGCTATCCGATGAAAATAAATTTACTTTCGTCAGAAAATAATATAGAATTCCGCGTTGTTTCTGACCAGTTCAAATGATCGTAAGCAAATTGAAGACGGGCGGTCCGATTTTTCTTGGAAATAAAGGTTTTTTAGATGGTCTCCTTGCTCTCCCTTAAACGTCTTCGAACAGTGTGGACACCAATATTTACTTCTTCAAGTTGAGCTTTAATGTCGACAGCAGTAGTAAATGGCTTTTTAAGAGCAAATGTTTTAATTTTCCTATCAATCCTAGGTGTGGTTTTTCGTGGTCTACCAGTCTTAGGAGGGCTAACCAACGATTTTCTGAGGTGGAACAGCTTAATAGCAAATTACCGATCGGCTTAAATTCAGCTGTTTGGCTATGGTTGCTTGTTTAATGCCTGATCGATATTTTAAAATAATCAATTCTTTTATTTGCAAATTCAATGTAATTCCTCTGGCCATGTTTTTGAAGTACACTTTACTAAATACACTCAAAAATAACACGTATTCTAATCAACGACTAAATATAAACTAAATATTTACAAAACGTTTCTCTACGTTTGCTCGTTGAACAAAAAACCGTCCATATTATGTTGAAAAAAAAGAATGTATACAAGGATAAGCATTTCATTATCTTCAGGTAGTCATACATAAAAAACTTTAGTGTACAGTTTAGGGTTAGAGTAAATCTTTCTGGATTTTTATTTGTAATGTGGTTTGTTTCTCTACTTTTGCTCGGTACTGTAGAAGGAAACAATGAGAGTGTGCCACAAAAGAATACTAATTTACGCCAGCATTTCTACGGCTCAATACACACTATACATCTTAACTTATGGTTTAAATGTATCAACTAATTTATAGGTATCTGGCAGTGAGTTATACAGCTTAACGTCATTGTATGTAAAACTATTCCGAAAGAAAGCAATCCTGTGGTGTGGCATTGTTATATTTCGGGAATGTATATATCTGCACAATCAGTTTCTCTCGCAAAAATAG